AGCGGCCACTGCACTCCAGTCTGGGCGACAGAGTGAGACTCCAACTCAAAAAAAAAAAAAAAGTCTTAAAACAACATATGACGGCAAGGATGCAGAGAAAAAGTACTCTCATCCTCTGTTGGTTGGTGGGGAGACGTTTCCGTATGAGCAGAAGGCAAGGCTCTTGAGAAGCTCAGCTGTGCCAGGCAGACTTGCAGATGGTGAGAGGATGGCCATGACCTTAGGAGTGAGATGTGTACCTGTGTGCATGTGGCCTCCCCATGACAATGTGCCTGGACCTTCGGGTGGGAAACAAGAGTCCCTGAACCCTCTTGTGCCACACGACTCACTCTCTCCGCATTGGCCCTTGCCGCATTCAGCACTCCTCAGCCATGCTGCTGGCTCACACCTGCAGCCGGCCTGCTGAGCCAGACGTTTGTGGCCACCTCTCTCCTCAGTCACTTCCCGGGAACTCAGAGTCCTTCCATCCCAGAAGGGATTCTTGAACTTCCTCCTTGTCTCCCGCTTCCTCTTTCGGACTTCCCCATTTCATCAGTGTCCCTTCCAGCTCCTGCCCACCCAGGCTTCATTTTCTTTCTTCTTTTCTTTCCTTGTCTATTTGTTCCAGCCTCTTTCTGGTTTTCTTGTTTTTTTAGATACATGTCTTGCTCTGTTGCCCAGGCTAGAAGACAGTGGTGCGATCGTAGCTCACAACAGCCTCGACCTCCTAGGCTCAAGCAATCCTTATACCTTAGCCTCCTGAGTAGTTGTGACTATGGGTTCACATCACCATGCCCGGTTAGTTTTTTAAAAATATTTGTAGGTTCAGTACAGGGTCTCTGTGTTACCCGGCTGGTCTCTAACTCCCGGCCTCAAACAGTCCTCCTGTCTTGGCCTCCCAAAGGGCTGAGATTCCAGGTGTGAGCCACTGCGCCCAGTCCTTATTTCCAAATCTTGCCTCTCTTTTCCTCACATCTCCTTTAGGTGAAAACTTTTCTTCATTATCAGTGCTTGGCTCCCACATACATGTTTGTTTCTTTTCCTTTTACTAACACTTCTAAAATACAGACAGGACTCCTCATCTTCTCTCTTTTTCCTTTCATTTCCAATGCTCTTCCTCAGTTTCTCCCTGCTACCTTTTCTTCCATTAACAGAACTAGTTAATCTATTATTATTATTATTATTTTTTGAGTTGGAGTCTCACTCTGTCGCCCAGACTGGAGTGCAGTGGCCGCTCCCGGCCACTGCAGCCTCGACCTGCTGGGCTCCAGCGATCCTTCCTCCTCAGCTTTCCGAGTAGCCAGAATTACAGGCGCGCACTACCACGCCCGGCTAATTTTTTGATTTATTGTAGAGATGAGGTCTCGCCTGCCCAGGCGGGTCTCGAACCCACGGGCTCAGGCAGTCCACTCACCTCAGCCTCCCAAAGGCACGGGATTACAGGCTGAGCCACCGAGCCCGGCTATCTATTATTATTAATAGAGGGAACCAACACCTTTACATGGAAGCCACACCTCATCTGATTCTCAGGCAAGCGCCTACAAGCAGTTGCTTAGAAATGCATTATTTAGGGATTTTTGTAATGGCTGTCTTTTCCTAGCATGTTTGGCATGCAGTCTGTTAATTTATTGTTAATTTCACACCTTAATTACAGTTCTGGAGCTACTGAACTAGGCGTGATTTCTGAAGATCTATGTGTTGTCAATTTGCAAGTGCTGCCATAACAAAGTAACATAGGCTGGGGGGCTCAGACAACATCATTTATTTTCTTAAATTCTAGCCACTTGAAATTCTAGAAACTAGAATATAGAGGTTAAGGTGTGGGTGGGGCTGCTTCCTCCCAAGGCCTCTCTCCTGGGCGTGTGGGCGCCACTGTCTTCCCTGTGTCCTCATGTGACCGACCTTCTGTGTCCTCTTCTTATAAGGACACCGTCCCTTTGGATTGAGCCCACCTTAGTGACCTCATTTTACCTTAATCACCTCTTTGGGCCGGGCTCGGTGGCTCAGCCTGTAATCCCAGCGCTTTGGGAGGCCGAGGTGA